ACCCAACCAAATTAGAAGTAATTATAATTTTCCGCCCCGTTGGAAAATAACTCAGACATTGAAAATAAACCGAACCGAAATCAAACAAGTGCTCATATATGTAAATGCGAGGCTACAATTGATTTTATGTTTAAAAATATGGCCGTGCTTAAACCCACGTTTATACGATTTAATTAGTTTCCTGCTGAAGTATTTAGTGTTATGGCCATGCCGGGGGATATACGGGCAGTTGCATTTAAATTTGCAGGTAACAATAACTAATGTAGATGTCTGTGCGAATGTTTCAAAATTGTCGGTCAATTGAAATTTTACAAATAGTACGAATGGCAGTAAAACCAAGCAAAATATTTATATCCAATCATCAGTCTCATAGTCTCAATTTTTTTATGAATCTATCTATTTTGTGGTTAATAAATTAATAAAACCGTTACTAATTTAATAAAATAAAACAAATGTGAAATATTTCCTGGTGTATTTTTAAACTCTTAAAAAAGTGTTGAAAAAACTTCTTGAATACATTGCGTTTCCTATTCGAGATAAGTTGTCACATGGAAAGACCTGTGAATTATGTATAATAAACGGAGCGGTAAAACAAATCGTCATTCTAAACAGACCGAAAAGCGTGAGTGAATGCACAAATGCATTTGATTCGGTAAGTCAGAGCAAATGTAAACGATACGTTTTAAATCTAAAAATACTAATCTCCGGACACAAAACGAAAAAGAATTTAAAGAGAGGTAAATCTACATCGTTTAATGTTTACAAAAAAGGTTCTTTATAACGTTTAAGCAAAATTTTACTTTTATCTTATATTACGTAAAGGGAAAAATAAGATATTCGATTACGTTCTGGCGTTCTTGCTGACAAAGTATTTAGGGGAGAATTTTGGATTTATTATGTAAACGGTTGGAATTACAAAAATAAAGCAGCCGTTCTTTTTATATCGTATACCTATGGCCTTTAGAAGTCTCCAGGAATAGTTCAATAAAAATCCACTTTAAACCTGTAAAGCAGATTTTATTGATATTTATGGATATCTGGAGGGTACAGTATAGATGAGGTATAGCGTGATCGGATGAAGAAATGAATGAATGGAAGGCTCCACAAGTCTCAATCGATTTCTTATGCTGTCGAAACAATTACCATGGTATATCTCTTCCATTGCATTGTAGGTTGATTGCAAGAGGAAGACATTGGTAAATATACTTCCATTGCCGACCGGTCGGCGGTATAGCAAAACTTAAACGTTGTCGAAAAATCTAGAAGGCACATCATATTTCTCGGAAAGAATGCGTTACATACACTTCCATTCCTTATCACCGCTGAGTAATCCATTATCGACTTGATGCCGCCTTGATAATACTGCAATAAAATAAAAGAAGAGACATGTACCTAGTTTATTTTGTTGGCCAATCGAAAAAGAAGTTACAATTAAACCTAAAAAATAAGTTTATGCAAAATAATAAAGTACTTTAATTTTGTGTATTCTATTTTTCCTGTAATTAGTAATAATAATTTATATTTTTGAATAATAATTTTATTTATTTATGTTGGAACACTTAAAAACCTAAAAAAACTGGAACCGGAACCGGAACCGAAAATTACTTAAGTCATAGAACCGGAACCAGTGAGGGAACCCTTAAAATATAACGGAACGGCGCTGAACCTATATATCATATGGGTTGTTCGGATTTGAAGTCAATGTTGATTTGTTGTTGTTTCGATTTATTTAACAATGGAATTTTTTCATATAATCGCTTTGTTTATTTTGTGCATTTTATTGAATAGCTCTATTACGTGTGAAAAGTAAATAACTACACTGTTTTATTTTAAAATTTAGTGTGATAATGGCTTTATCTCTATGTAACACTAATTAAATTTAAAATAAGTAGATTTCACCGATTAGAAAACATCGGTGTTTAATTAAGACGACGCTCAATAATCTTTTATAAGAAGGTGAAACGTAACTGAGAAAGGGAGGATTGTGTTAAATAACAGAGGAAGACGTGAATCGTGACTGTTTTGGTGGTGGACGTTAATCGTTGCTTTCTGTGCTGTCTTTTGGTGTTTAGCAGTTATGCCCTGATTGAGCGTTTTGTTGCAATACAGTTGGTCTTGCTAATTGAAATAAAGTGGTTATAGAAGAAAGAATAAAGAGAAAGTTTGCGTCGAATCTAAACGGAAGCGTTTGTTTAAGGTCTACGCAAAAGTTAGTCGAAATGTTGTGTCTATCGAGCGTCTATCGTTGATGTAAAGCTTTTCGTTATGGTCTTTAAGTTACTCGTTAAAAACCATAAAGAAACCAATAATACACCTGTAATTATAACGAACCTAGTATCGCCTAAATTAAGATTCAAGGGCAATCAAAGAAGTGAAGTTCCGAAGTAAAATCGTTTGGTGTTTGTGTGTTGTGCTTCAGTTATAGAAATCGCAGTTACGACTGTTACGACTTTAAGGTAATTAAGATTTTTTTGAATTAATTTGCTCATTCGATTGCTTGTGCGTAGTATTTTTCCTTTGGCTCTGAGCGCCATTTTTCATTTCAGCTTTATTATTGATTGATTTATATCGAATAAATTTGTTTCATCTGTAAATGATTAGCTTTGTGTTTAATCGAGCTCAAGTTACGACCCAAATAAGAGTTCGTATGTCAAATTCTCTGTTTGTCGTTTAAATAATTATTTGCATTAATGAACACTTCGACCAACTTAAACGGGCTCTTCCTTACGAAAAATCGTGGTTCCGGACCTACTTATTACTTTAGTAGAAGTTGAAAATATTGTAGCCGCCGAGAAGGAGATCAGGATACTGTAACTAATTTGCAGTTCGTAGCCTTTTCCGTAGAGATCCTTAAATTATCTTTGAAGCGTCCGAAAGCCTCTCTCCGATTAATATTGCATGATTTCAGTTCCGTTAATTAATTATTGGCCGATTTTAGTTAGTTAACGGTAATTTAAAGTTAGGATAGAATCCGGAAAGGTCGCTTGCTTAGACGTAGGTACATAAACCTGATAAAGTTAACTTGTCGCTTGATCCCAAAATTCCGGGACAGGATCGTGATTACTAAATTTCGGAATTTCAGCTCGTCCAAGTATAACTACCGGTATATAACCAGATCTGTTGCAGCAAATGGCATCTAATTGACATGGAGTTGGTGTCACATGAAGCGCGCTTAATTCGCATGAATTTTAAGATTTGTCCCGGGGGGGGGGGGGGTCGAGTAGTTAAAGAAGCTGAAGAATTATTTTTGCGTTATCACTCGAGGCTAGAAATTCCGATGTTCCCTTTTCGCATTTTTGGAATTCTATGTCAGGTAACAAGCATGATTTTCTGTTTTGGCATTTCGTGTCAATTTAGACGTTAAATTTTGCATTATACGCGCTTGATATTTCCATTTCTGTAATTATAAAGGGGATTTGCTTTCCTATGTTTTGTTTCCCGTTAGATGCCGTTATTAATTTGTACTTCCGTTCCGTCTGCCGTAGTTCTGTTTTAGATTACGTGACTGACTGTCCGTCCAGGTTTTCCGTTTTCTTCGCCGGGTTATTCGTGGCTTCCGAAACCGTCCAGAAACCGATCGTCCTTGACCAGGAGTAAGAGTCGACAATTTCCTGGTGGCACTCGAAGCGAACCGTCCCACCAGAAATTGTTTTATTAAATTTTATTTTTCATGTCACTAAGTGGACCGTTTAATTTAAAACAAATGATTTGCACAGACTACAGAAGTTCCTCCTTCTGTTTAATTGAGCTAGTTGGACAGATGTTTATGTAGGGGGTTTAGTGGCCGTTTGCCATTGCACATAGTAGTATACTAGTATACCTATATTTGAAGGACGACACAGGAGCAGTGGCCGCTTTAATAAATCTTTATTATATGAGTAATTGTACTGCTGTAAGTAGCGCAAACAATTGAGAAGTGCTAAAGTTCCTCCTTCTTTAACGCACCTTCTCACACCATTGTTAAGAGACTAGGCCCTACAGCAAAGAACCGAAATGTACGTCAAGATATTTGCAAGTTTATTTACTATGTAATTAAGAAGAGAGACTACTTGAAACGGGTTAGGTATCAAGGGTAGTACATCCAGGATTTTTGGTGTATAATTTATTTTCACATTTTCCTGAACAAAATCCCTAGTCCTCTAAAAGTGCCTACTTGTCTCACTTACGTATTCTCTTTAGTTCGTTAGTATACGTACTCATATGGATAATTCAGCAGTAATTTTGTGCGTATAGGCTTAATTCAAATTCGCACATTAATCTGAGCTATATCACGTGCGTAATATTTTAGATAAACGAAACGTTTGTACACACTAGTAAATATATGGAGCTTGCATAAGTAAACATACACGTTATAATCTGTTATATTCAAAGTGCTCAACTTCCTAATGCACCTCGACATTGTATCAAGTATCTGTTTAAATATGAGCTCGTTGTCGTTTCTCTTCTTTAGAAAAAATGTTGACCATTGACAACTAATATTAAAGTAACATTTAATTTGTCTATTCGTGAATAAGATAAAGGTATTTCCAATGTCATCTATGATATATTGATGAAGCTTATTTGCTTTATTATCACCTAGACATTACCAAATATATATTATACTAACTACATTATATTTATATTTATGACCGGGATGTAATCTAGATATCCATTACAGGTCCATAGGAGTACGAGAACTGGATATAATAGATGTCCTCAATTGATGCATATCGGATAGCTAATTAGATGGTATTGTGTCATGTCCAGATCGCCACTGACTGTCCACTGTACAAGAAAAAGATCTCTGGTGGAAAGAATGTGGCCCTTTACCCAGTAACCCAGTGTACCTACCAGTAAATAGTCTCTAAGGAGCCTTTATCTGCTTTAAAACAAAAAAATCCTCTTTCGTCTAGTACGTAGGTAACACATTTTAACGTTTTGATTGCAATAGTAATTTTGAATCTCTTTTAGAGACTTTTGATTATTGTATTTCAGCGATCCTAAAAATTATGTTATGTATCTTTAATTGAACAGAAATAGCAAATTATTTTATTAGATAAAGACAATACAGAAAGAAATATTACGCAGTTTATTGATGTGGATGCTGTGTCATCTTGTTATGTTGGTTATACCCTGCAAAATAATGTTTTAGAATTTTTTTGACAATGGTTTCAATTTAAGTTATGTGGGACCCAAGCTCGTGAGCAACTACGTGTCGTATCTTTGATTTTGAAATTAAAGGCGATTTTATGTGATGGGTTACACACAACTTAGAATAAAAGTATACCTTTGAACTGTAAAACTCGATCTACAACCTGTTGCAGTTCGACGCCCTTGGTTGCATGGTGTCCTAATAATGCTTGCTTGATGATTAGTTCCAGTAGAAATTTTGGGCTTACTGTTATCACACTGCCCAACACAAACTAATACACTAAGCAGAAACAGATAAAACAAAAACCTGAGCATTGTAGCGGGTTATCACAGAACACTGATGCTATTAGACGTTTTAGTATTTATTTATAACGTTATCAGTTTAAAATTACGTCTTGTTTTGTTAAAAATAGTGGTCACTGGCGTACGGAGAAGCTTTCTCTGCAACGCAGGCGATTCCTTTTACCGGAACTGCAAGGCACCTGAATTAAACGGCCATTAACGGAGACGTCGTCCACGTGAGCGTCCAAGTCGGAGGATGCTTTAATGTCTTTCGGTGACGAATAGATGTACTGCAGTGATATCAGCAGCAGACCTGCGACTATCAGCACCTTTGGCAACATGACTTACTAAGCAGATTAGAATCTGAACTGAACAATTAATGGTGCAGATATTTGTAAAAACGCCCTATCAATGAAGTGCGCGCAAATAATTCCTGGTAGAGTGAGTATAAATAGTAAAAATGGATGTAACCGCTTGTAACCAGTCGTGTAGATATGCGCAAGACGAATTGGGAAACGAACGTTATCAAAAATACATTCCATTTAATTACGTTATTTTTAAAAATAAAATGAGTTCTTGTGATTTTGCATCTTTAGCCAATGTGGATCCTGGTACTTTTGGGGGCATTTTTAACGAAATCAGGTGTAGCGACATTGCTTCAAATGTTTATTAATATCATTATACCATTGTGAGTTCCGCGTCGTATCCTGGTTAAAAATTCTATAACGGATCGCGCTTTTTATATGATAATCGTACTGTCATGCCCTATGAGAGATATCGGGCGATCATAAATAAGTGAGTCGACTTGCCTTTGGAAGTTCAAGTTAAGTACGATTACCCATGTAAACAAAATTACAAAGGAGACTAGACGGTCACTCATTCTTGATCGCTATGTATGTAGTACAAAATCCTAAACTTTCCTCAGAATAGCAGTAGCTCTCTGTCAAAGTTGAGAAGGTCTAAACATATGCTGTATAGAACTAGTAGCAAACCATTATCGTGATCCCATATATTCCCTTATATCTCCAGAATGGAATGTCGGAAGAGGGTACTCAGAAAGGGCGACTTGGAACGTCTGGAAGAAATATATCCATTGATGATTTCAAAACTTTAAGAATGAATATCTCGAAAACGGTTTGTTGGAGGAAAGTACTCTCACAGGCAAAATGAATCGACTGGACGAGACATATCCCTGGACTGGACATATCTATTGGTGAAGTCGAAGGTTTCAGTGCAAATATCTGCAGAATGGAGTGTCGGAGGATTTTGAATGTATGCCAGGCGGTCTTTAAATGTTATGTGTAAAGAGCCACCTTCCCTTATAAACCAACCGTTTCCTAAGCTATTTCGGTTTTAAAAAAATGCGCTTTATCTGCACAAAAGTTGTGCAACAATTTATACTTGTTTTAACTTTGCTTTTTTTATCGTTAATTTCAATAAAAAATTGTTTAAGTTTCCCTTGTTTATCAGCTTCGTAAATAATTTGTAGAGCAACTAGGCCCCTATTAGCCACGGCGGCCAGCCGCGCAACCGGTCACTCCACCGGTGGTTTGGTCGGTTGCCGCCCATGTAATCAAATGGAGCCCATTAGCCAGGGTGCCCAGCCGCGCAACCAGCTCAGCAACCAAAATCCATCGGCAGCTGGTTACCGAGCTCTGCAACCAGCACAGTGACCACGGGTTGCTCGGCGACCACGCGGGGCATTGGAGTATACGGAGCGTATTAGCCAGGGCGGCTGGCCACGCAACCGGTGACTGTGTGTGTGTGTGTGTGTGTGTGATGCGCAGGCGCGCGCTCGCCCTGTCCTTCAATCAGACGCTCTCATTGCTCATTGTGTCACTCTACACTCACTGAAGTACAGGTGGTGTGCAGTTCTTCTAGTGCTCGTGAATTCTTGACCTTGTGAATGATGTTTATGACAGAGAATGAAGAAATCCGTGATGAAGTTGGTGAAAGTGAGGCTGCCCACAGTAGCAAACGTGTCCGAGATGAACAAAGTGTTCCTGTTGAACAAGGGGATGGCGAAAAAAAGAAAAAACGGCAGAATAAATCTGATGACTCGGTAAAAGAACTGACGAAATTTGTGGATAGTAAAATTAACACCGAAGACCTAATTTGTGAGGTGGAGAAACTTCCGGTAATATGGGACAGCAGATTGGAGTTATATTCTGATAAAACCGAGAAGCTGAACGCCTGGAGTAAATTGCTGACGATATTCATAGCTGATTTTGAAGAAAGGCCCATGACAGAGAAAAACGTAATGTGTAAGTGATATCTTGTTTCATTAACTAAGTGAACTAGCCTACGTAGTGATGTAAAATACCCATGTATTTAAAAGTGAGGGTAAATACCCAATTTATAAGTACCTACCCGCTGAGTATTTACCCGGCCCACATCACTAAGCCTACGGGGTTTAATGAAAATTTCATTATGTGTTTAGCAGTATTTGTTTAATAACCATGTCCAGACATTATGTACAATCAAAGCATTTTTAAAAACCATTTTCTGTTCATACTTTAAAGCTTTATACAATTAAATACGGTTCATTTGCCATGAAACTGCACCGTTTTCACTCATGAAGTAGTCAGCAAACTTATCCCTCAGTTTTATAGCCTTCTTTGTGGGCTGCTCCCTTGAAGCGTCTAGGTCGAACAAGCCTTCAACTGTCAGAGTATCTTCTATTTTAAACCCGTCTCTTTCCCTGACGAAGTTGTGGAGCAAACAACAGACTTTAACAATGTCTTCACACAAACTCAAATGGACATTTAGGGGCCGGTGAAAGATTCGCCACTTGTTAGCAAGTATGCCAAATGAACACTCAATGTTCCTACGCGCTCTGCATAGACAGTAGTTGAACACTCTTTTCTTTACGTTGAGCATTTTTCCTGCATAAGGTCGGAGTAAGTTCTCTGAAAGGCCAAATGCTTCGTCCCCGACGAACACAAACGGCATAGTTTCTGGTAAACCTGTGAATGATTGTTGTGGAGGGGGGATGTTCATCTTATTTCCAGTTAGCGTTTTAAAAAAAACACTCTCCTTAAACACAATTGAATCGGATGACTTCCCATACGCACCAACGTCTATAAAAATAAATTTATATGATGCGTCACACATAGCAAGCAGTATTAAGGACCACTTTTTTCCGGTTTTACGACTCGAATATGTTTGCCGTCAATCGCTCCCAAACAATGAGGGAAATTCGTCTTCTCATAAAACTCAGCAGCAGTTTTCAGCCAGTATTCAGTATTCAGTCAATGTAGGAAAGCAGATTTGTCTCATTCTGTTCCAAATAGCTTTGCAAACTTGGCGTACAATCACAGATATCGTAGGGTGGCTTATTCTGTACTGAAAGTGCAGATCGGTCATTGATGTTCCAGTAGCAAAGTATCTGTAACCAGAAAAATAAATACACTTTAAGACTTCGGTAATAAAAATACTAGGTGTACGCTTATTTTTCGCGTAAGAGAATTTCGCTCGCTCATTCAATTATATTGGTATTGCATTGTTTTTTGTTTTGTTTGTTTACAGTAACGATTGTACAGAAAAAGTGGAAGAACATTCGTTCTTGTTACTCAAGAGAGCTGCTCATGCAGAAAGAGAGAAAGAGCGGATCTGGTGCTTCCACAAGAAAGAAATATGTGTACTTTGACTTACTACGCTTTTTGGAAACTATCTCTAAGAAAACTAAAAAACAGCATGGAAGATAATTCAACAGCTGATGTAAACGAATTGGAACCGGAACAAGAGGAGCACGAATTTGATACACCCACAGCGACAATAGAAAGCGGAAAGAAACAGGGTGGTTCAAGGAGGAGGACTAGAAACGAAGAAGATGACTTCTTGACCACCTTAAAAAAAATGGCAATGGAAATTAAGGAAAAAAGTGTTGGACAGGACGAGGATAAATTATTTCTGATGTCTCTTCTGTCCGAAATTAAGCAAGTTCCCCCTCAAAGAAAACTCAAATTGAGATCGGACATAATTTCTGCAATAGCCGCTGCACAACAAGGAACGAGTCCCCAATGGCCGGTTACTGTCCCAACTCCGACACATAACTTTCCGCATATGTTTCCCCCTCAACAACATCCCAGTCCCTCTCAACAATATCAGAACCTTCATCAACAATATCAGAACCCTCCTCAACAATACCAGAACCCTCAACAATATCAACCATTGACAACTCTGCAACCCCCACGTAACCAACAAGGCTCCAACTTGTCTTCCTCTGAAGAATCAACACCAATAGTGTCCCCAAGTTTCTCTCAAATGAGTGACTATGTTACTTATGAATCTTATGATTAAGTTTAAATGATTAAGTTAAAAGTTAACAAGTTAAAAAGTAATCGTAAACGATTTACATAAAGCGCATTTCCACTTGCATTCATTTCCCATTTGTAAGATGCAACTTCTGTTCAAATCGTAAAAATCCGGCCACAAATATGAAAGATAGCGTTGCACATGGGCAATCCATTGTTGACGTGCTACTTCAATTTCAGTTTATGAGAAGAATTTCATTTCAATGCTTTTCTAAATAAAAAAGTTGGAACTGCGCATGCGCAAACCTCAATGTTAAAACTAATGTTAGATTTTCCTTTGTTCCAAGCGCCTAAGTATCAAATTTCACTTAAATAGTTCCATAGATAAAAAAGTTGGCACGGCGCATGCGCAAAATAAAATTTTGAAACTGGCGCTAGATTTTCCTTTATTCCAAGTGCCTATGTATCAAATTTCATTTAAATTCTTCCATAAATAAAACAGTTGGCACTGCGCATACGCAAAACCAAATTTTGAAATTGGCGTTTGATTTTCCTTTATCCCAAGTGCCTATGGATAAATTTCGTTTAAATTCTTCCATAAATAAAAAAGTTGGCACTGCGCATGCGCAAAACCAAATTTTGAAATTGGCGTTTGATGTTCCTTTATTCGAAGTGCTTCTGTATCAAATTTCGTTTAAATTCTTCCATAAATAAAAAAGTTGGCACTGCGCATGCGCAAAACCAAATTTTGAAATTTGCGTTTGATTTTCCTTTATTCCAAGTGCCTATGTATCAAATTTCGTTTAAATTTTTCCATAAATAAAAAAGTTGGCACTGCGCATGCGCAAAACCAAATTTTGAAATTGGCGTTTGATTTTCCTTTATCCCAAGTGCCTATGTATAAAATTTCGTTTAAATTCTTCCATAAATAAAAAAGTTGGCACTGCGCATGCGCAAAACCAAATTTTGAAATTGCGTTTGATTTTCCTTTATCCCAAGTGCCTATGTATCAAATTTCGTTTAAATTCTTCCATAAATAAAAAAGTTGGCACTGCGCATGCGCAAAACCAAATTTTGAAATTGGCGTTTGATTTTCCTTTATCCCAAGTGCCTATGTATCAAATTTCGTTTAAATTCTTC